AAATCATATCACCGTTATTGAAAAAAATTATATCGCGATACATATTGATATTGAATTATTGTCCAGCCCTAATCTGGAGGTGTCATTTTCTTTTAAATCCATTACTTTGATTGCCAGTAACCCTTTTTGCAACACTGCTTGGATTTACCCTAACCTAGTCTTTGATTTATGCCTAGGTCCAGTACTTCCACCTCTCGGAATTATACAACCTCCCCAAAACTCGCTTCAAACTCATCTGCCACCATATCCTCCACAATAACAAATGGGGATAGCAATAGCAACTCTGGCTACATGTTGAACAACAGTACTTCTGGTAACAGGTCAGCTTGAGATTAAATCAAAACAGTCCTAAATTACGCCATAGTTAAACTAGTTTTGTTCCTTACTGTGAGAGTTTAAATAGCGAACTAAAACAAGGTTTCAGTTTTCTTGTATTCAGTATTTGGTTGACCAGTTGTGATGGCCATAATTGTGGTGGTAACTCATGGTCAATGTCTTTGCTAACCCACCATACATTTTGCAGACTGGGAGGTTACAACTCCTACAGCTCCTACAGTTACAGAGAATCTACCGCTCAGCCAGGCCTCTGCGGTCTGAGCAACCTGGGCAACACCTGCTTCATGAACTCTGCCCTCCAGGTATTCAAAAATGAATGTTTATTTACACAGTATGTTTTGAAATCTGCCATATTCACTCAATGGTGAAGTGTCAATGGAAGAAGGCCCAGATTGTGTAGTTATGACATCTAGCAGCCAAACCCTGTCTTCTTGATTTAGACTATTTCCTTCTCATTCTAAGTGACTTCTTATTTCAGTGCCTGAGCAACACTCCCCCTCTAACGGAATATTTCTTGGAGGACCGGTACGAAGCTGAGATCAACCGGGAAAATCCATTAGGGATGCGAGGGGAGATTGCAGAGGCCTATGCGGATCTGGTCAAACAGATGTGGCTTAGTCGGAGCAGTTATGTTGCTCCACGCACTTTTAAAGTGAGTGAATCTATAGTTTACAGAGGCTAAAGTTACTGTGGATATCATTGGCCATTTTTAACACAAACCCTTATAATTCAATCTGAATGTTGAAACATATCTTCTCTCTCGTCAGACCCAAGTGGGCCGGTTTGCCCCGCAGTTCTCAGGGTACCAGCAACAAGACTCTCAGGAGCTGCTGGCCTTTCTGCTGGACGGCTTACATGAGGACCTTAACCGTGTTAAGAAGAAGCCTTATCTGGCCCTGAGAGATGCTGAGGGGCGCCCTGATGAGGTAAACCTTACATCATTATGTGTAAACCACAGCATGCTATTTTAGTTGGAAGCAAAATACAGAAGTAGTCAAAACAATAAATTACTAGGAAAAAGCTATTGTTTCTGTTGTGCTAGTGAGTAAGCATTATTCTGAAAACCTCTATAACATTGTAGGCATTTGGACCTTTACTTTTAAACTGAAGAATGTTATTTGACCTACAGTACTCTCATTTGTCTGTAGGTTGTAGCCAAGGAAGCATGGGCGAATCACCGGTTGCGGAACGATTCAATAATTGTGGACATCTTCCATGGCTTGTTCAAATCTACGCTGGTTTGCCCAGAATGCTCCAAAGTTTCTGTTACCTTTGACCCCTTCTGCTACCTCACACTGCCCCTGCCCATGAAAAAGGATCGCACTATGGAGGTGTTCCTGGTCCACACTGACCCACAGTTTAGACCCATGCAAGTAAGAACCGTTTTCCTGAAAACACTCAGTTACATGTTTTAGTTCAGGAGGTTGGCTAAAAGATACTTTTGTTATCTTCCAGTATCGTGTAGTAGTTCCCAAAATGGGTGTAGTGGCAGACCTGTGCAGTGCTTTGGCCAAGCTATCTGGAGTTCCTTCAGAGAATGTAAGACTTGTGGTTCCCAACCTAACACCTCTTTTTCTATTATTAATATTGCTTCAAGAGATGGTACCTTCAAAAATAAAACAATTGTCATCATTTACCCACCCCCATACTGTTATAAGCCCATGTGGCTACCTTGGAATAAAGCATGTAAATTTGACATTTTGTGTTCTATTTCACAAAGAAAGTCATATGAGTTTGTAACAAAATGAGGTTGTTGTAAATGATGGCTATTTTCTTATTTGGCTGAACTGTTCCTTTAATGTCTTCTTCTACAGTATATAACACTGGCATACATTTCTAGCAGACAGTCTGAGATTGTTTTCTGTTTTCTAGATGGTTGTGGCAGATGTTTACAATCACAGATTCCACAAAATCTACAGACAGGATGACGGTCTCAATCACATCATGGAGAAGGATGACATTTTTATGTAAGTAATTTCTTAAATTCTACTTTCATTACTGTTCAAAAGTTTGGGTTCAGTGTGTATATATATATATATTTTTAAAGATGGTTCTTATGATTACCAAGTTACCTTTTTTATTTGATCCAAAATAAAGTAATATTGTTGAAACATTACAAAAATTCCAAATAACTTCTATTTTAGTTTGTTTTAAATGTGATTTGTTCCTTTTGGTGGCAAATTGGAATTTTCTGCGGGCACTACTCCGTTTTTTTTTTTTTTCTGGACTTTTTAATGGTTACATTAAATTTTATTAATCAAAAAGCATGTAATTAAAATCATGAAACTTAAACAATTTAACATCAATTTATTAAAAGTTTAACAAAAATTACATGTTTAGGGCCCTATGGAAGGTTTTGTTTTTTCCAACCTAATGTTTTATTGTTACCAAATTCTGATTTAGCATGTCTAATTATTTGAAAGCATAAAAACAAGTTTCATTTATTCTTACAATAGCCTTATGATTTTTTGCTCAGAAACTATGTGTTGTGTATTTACATTTTTAAGGCATAAAATATTCATTTAATCTATCTTTTAAGTAATGAAAATTAAACAAAATTTTTGGAAAATAAAAGTCATTTAATATTACAATTAAAACATTGAAGAAATATTGCATGATTATTCCTTAAAAATAAGGTTTTAATAATTTTAGTAGTAGTAGTAGCAGCCTATTACGTACATTCTACTGAACAATAGTAATATATTTCTGCCGCAATGCCTTCAAATTAAACCAAACTTTTATTTTAAGGGGTTGCCATGAATACCTTTACGTTTCTGTGTGTATATGATATGAGGATAGTTTTACTCAAATTAAACATTTAAACGCTCATGAAGTGACTCTCAGGGCAGTTCTGGAGATGTTGTTCATGTATTTATGTCCTCATTCAGTGAGAAGACAGACGCTAAAATCACCGCAAGCATCACGCGCGCTTCAGTACAAGTGGTAAACAAAACTGCACCTCTGCGCCATTCATTAACACAGAGACACGAAGAATTCATATTTAAATAGTCGTTTTGCGGCTTAAGATTTACAAATACTAGTGGGAGGGTGCACACGTGTGTGTGTGTGCGCGCACATCGGGGGGGAAGTCCGCTGTGCGTGATACTGCTAGCGCGACCATAACTTAGAATGGAATTGATTTGAATTCAAGTTGAATAAACTTCAACTTTACTGTTCAGTGCACTGATGGTCAGACTCATTTTGGATAATACAATGTATTGTTAAATGCCCTGCCTCCATTACGTATCTCTGTCACGTCATTGTAAGTGTGTATATTATATATAAGTATAAGAGTGATCATTGCAAAAAATTTCTATATGTATATATATGGTCGTGGTCAGAATTATTGGCACCCTTGGTAAATATGATCAAAGAAGGCTGTGAAAATAAATCTGTATTGTTAATCATTTTGATCTTTTATAAAAAAAAATTCACAAATCTAACCTTTCATTAGAGAATAAAATTTAAAATGGGGGGGAAATATCATTGACACAAATGTTTTTCTCTAAGGGTGCTTTCACACCTGTAGATCGATTGCTTTGTTCCGAAACAGGGCCCACAACATTAAAGATCCAGCAGTATATTTCATTGTACACATGGGGTACTTTTTTATCCCTGTGTGCGCCAAACCCATCTTGAGTGTTTGTTGTTAAAAAGCTATTTTTTTTTGTTACATCTGACCATAGAAGCCAGTCCCATTTGAAGTTCCAGTCGTGTCTGACAACAGAATATGCTGGAGATTGTTTTTGGATGAGAGCATTTTATTTTCTTGATTTCTTTTTCTTGAACATCTCATTGTGATGGATGATTAAGGGAATTTGGCCTTTGTTTTCCCTCCTATTTATATTCCTGTGAAACAGAAAGCCATGGCTGGATAATTTCATGTTCATAATCACCCTGGTATGCTCAAAATTGTAAATATGAATGGGAATATACTTCACAGATATTTTACTCATAAGAATTTCTAGGGGTACCAATAATTGTGTCCAACGTGTATTTGAGAAAAACATTTATGTCATAATGATATTTCTCCCCATTTAAAATTCTTATTCTCCAATGAAAGGTTAGATTTATGTGAATTTTTTTAAATAAAAGATCAAAATGATTAACAATGCCGATTTATTTTCACAGCCTTCTTTGATCATATTTACCAAGGGTGCCAATAATTCTGACCACGACTGTATATTCTGTTTATGTATATACTGTATTCTATATATAGTACCAGTCAAATATTTGGACACACAAATGGGAAAGTGTCCAAACTTTTGACTGGTACTGTACTATAATATACAAAAAGAATATCGGCCGATATATCGATAGCGGCCTTTTTTACTCCCTAATATCGGTATCGGCCCCAAAAAGCCCATATCGGTTGGGCTCTAATTATAACATTGTAAATATCTTTACTTTCATTTTTTATCTATTTAATGCCTACTTGTTAATTAAAAGTATTAATTTCTTACTACAACAACAAAAAAAACTTTTACTGACTCCAAACTTCTGAACTGGAGCATATGTTTATTGAATTGTTTTGCAAAATGTAAGTTTTGCCGTTCAGCTAAGTGTGTTTGAGTGAGTGGCCTCTTACTGATTGTGTCTTTGTGGTTTAGTTATGAGGTGTTAGAGGAAGATAGTGATAAGATGAACCTGCCAGTGTACTTCAGAGAGAGGCATGCTAAGCACAGCGGAGGCTCTTCGGGCACGATGCTCTTCGGCCAGCCTCTCCTCATCACCGTCCCACGCCACAACCTTACTGTAGATACCCTTTATGATTGCGTGCTGGAGAGGATCGGGTTGGTGTTGTGCTTTAGTGGTCTATCTCAATTTTACACCAGTTCTGTTACTGCAAACTTGGTTGACCCTTTATCTGTCTTTTGTTTTAGGCGCTATGTTAAACGTTCACAGGGTACCATTACAGACAGTAGAGCATCTGCCTCGGCCACATCCTCTAGTAGCAGCCAATCACCAGAATGCCTCGCTTCAGTGTCCAGTCACAGCACAGGCCTGAGTGGCTGCAGCAGCCCAGTTTCAGATGGAGCTTCCTGCAGCGCTGGATCCAACAGCAGCAACCACTCTGGAACCTGCAATGGCCCCAATGGAGTTTATGATGGTAGGTCACTGACACTTGCATAATACTCCCAAATGCTGCATTCACACCAGAGTATGTGAGCGGAGTGGAGCGGCAACAATTTCCCCTCCGCGCTCCAAGCATTCAATAATCACTCTGCTCTGGGTTCACCCTTTCCCGCTCCACTCCTTGCTCCACTGATCAGAAACACCGCTCCGCCTTCACTCCACAGCTAAATTATTTCACTATGCTTGAAAAATCAAAGTTCTGTTCAGAAATGATATTAAATGAAAAATAAATGCATAATACTAGAAGAATAGTTTTAACATGGTTTATTGGAACTTCAATTAGCCCAAGTCCATATTAAATGACTGCTTAACTCGCTTAGCTTACTTGTCTGTGCAACATCTCTCTACTATGGCAAAGCTGAGGGTAGTTACTTCAGAAACAGAAAGAATATGCTGTAACTTTTCTGTTTTTAAGCTGATAAATCACAGGACAGTGTTGACCAAATTTTCTTCATTCCTGAATGTATGCGCGCGATCTTTACGTTATGTGCGAGCTTGTGTGTTCTGTCTGTGTGCAGCAATGTATCAGCACATTCGTTTCGAGCGGAGATTAACAAATTACAATTTAAAACATGCTTTAACCTTCCGCACTCGTCCATCGCCATTTTAACCTTCATATGTGATCCACATATCTGTCAAGCTAATTAATTATGTTTAATGCGTGAGTTGGCATAATTTGTGCTCGTGACGGAGCGGTAATGGAGCGTTCTCGGAGCGAGAGAAAACCTCAACGCTCCGACTTTCAAAAAATCCGCTCCTAGCTCCAGGCAAAATCACGCCGCTCCGCTCACATACTCTGATTCACACTGTCATCCATTTGTTTTTTTTAACATTCATCAGATACAGATCTGATTTTGTTGTATGCATTTATTTCAGGTGATGAGGAAGCCATGGATCACCAGGAGAGTCCAGAACCAGAGAACAGTAATTCAGACACTGTGGATGGAGAGGAGGATTCAGAACCAGAGAATGGGCCCAATTGCAGCGGTGGAAAATCTTTTACTTCTCGACCGAAACTCTTTTCTTTCAGCATGGTCAACTCCTACGGCACAGCCAACATTAGTTCTCTCCCATTTGATGGCAATCTCCTAAAGCTCACAAGTAACTATTACCTTTTTACATTTGATACTAAAAATTAATCAAATAAATCAGGAGGATTATTAACTGTTGCTGTATTTGTCTGACTTTAACTCTTTAGGGTCACTTGCTCTTATTCTTAAAATAAAAACTGACAGATATTCCTTTCTACAGCTCACTCTACAGTAGCCATTGATTGGGATTCAGACACAAAGAAATTGTGCTACGATGACCAGGAGGCTGAGGTAATGCCCTCTAATCCACTAATTGTGCAAAATTACACTACTGTTCAAACGTTTTTGGGACTGCAAGATTTTTTGTTAGGTTTTTGAAGGATGTCTCTTATGATCACCAAGGCTGCTTTTATTTCATCAAAATACTAGGGCTGGGACAATAAATCGATGCATCACGAATCGAGAAATGATTCTGCATCGATTCTGAGATTTTCCGAAGGCGTTGCGATTCTCTCTTGAAGCAATTCTGAGCTTAGTTTTTAACAGTGGTGATACTTTCTTTTGAGGATACTTTGATGAATAGAAATATAAAAAAAAAAAACTTTTTTTTTTTACTGTCACTTAAATATTTGCAATTTAATTTAAACTGTTTTTAAAAACAATTTTTTAATTTTTAAAAGTCTTGCCTCAATTCCCATGCAGTACTGACATTTTTGGTACAGATACGTGAATTATTATAATGTCTACCATAAACCTTAGTAAAAACTGACTAGTCAACCATCTTTTAGCTACCTGCTAAGTCTCCTCAGACATTAATTTGAAGTCTCTCCCCAGGCCTATGACAAACATGAGAGCATGCTACATGCTCAGAAGAAGAAGACTACAGTAGCTTTAAGAGAATGCATCGAGCTCTTTACTACAATGGAGACCCTGGGAGAACACGACCCCTGGTGAGGAGGATGTTCCGATCATTACACATTGTGACATTTACTGCCCATACTTTCAAGGTCAAATTATTTACTGAAGTATTACCACATTTAGTGAAGTTTTATTGATTGCTGTGCTCCTCTGCAGGTACTGCCCCACGTGTAAGAAACACCAGCAGGCCACAAAGAAGTTTGACCTGTGGTCTCTCCCTCGCATTTTGGTCGTGCATCTGAAGCGCTTCTCTTACAACCGCTGCTGGAGAGACAAGCTCGACACTGTTGTAGACTTTCCAATTAGGTAAATCTGTTGCGGGACTAAAATTTGCAAACTAAATTTGGCTGTAAAAAAATACCCCCGAAAGATCATTTAAAGCTATTATTGTGTTAAATGTTTAGGCTACAACTGCCTAACATAAAGTATGGAACATAAAATAAGATAATTTGAGAAACATCTCAGTATTTGTATTCATGCAATGAAAGCCACTGGTGACCAAAACAGCTTTACCAACAGTCTTCAAAATACCTTCTTGTATGTTGTGAGTAAATGACAGAATTGATTGATTTATTTATTTTTGGTGAACTATCCCTTTTTATTTATGTATTTATTAAATGATATGCTAAAGAAGAAACTAAAACTACCAACAGGTGGCGGTAAATGTCTTTATGAGTCGATTCGTTCAAATGGCTGATTCATTCAGGTTTTCAGTAAACGGTTCACTATGAATGGGCCTTTGAATCATTGGTTCACAAGATTCGTTCAAAACAAGGATTCATTCAGAAATTAAATGCTGCTGTGTTGCTCGGAGACCACAACAGTTCTGCTGTGGCTTTATAGGTAATATTTTCATTGGCAAAATTGAACAAAAACACAATATTGTGTTTAAAATGTAACACATCGGCCTGGCTGGTTCACCATAAAAGAAAAAGTGTCAAATTAAGTGATGTTGACGGCCGACAAAAGGTGGTGCTAATGCAATCTATTTTTGCTTATAATAAACTGAAACTGACGAGAAGGAGAGAGGGCTCGTGATGGCAAGCAAAAAAACGTGAAGATAAAGGCAGTTGGGAGAAGCTAAAAGAAAAAAAAGCGAACGGTTACATCAGGTTACCTTGAAATAACCTCAGGTTACAAGAATATTTTACTTACCCCACTGGCAGATAATTTTACTTGTTTTAAGCAAAATGCGCTTAATTTATTTTTTTCCCCCTGGAAACAAGACTAAATATCTTAAGTCATTTGGCTTATCTAGTAAAAGTATCTTGATTTAAGAATTTCTAGATATTTTGACTAGAAACAAGACAAAAATACTAAGTAAGATAAGCCATTTTTTGCAGTGTAGTTGTGGTGGGCCTATTTGGGAGAAAATCCAGGGCCGTTTTTTACTCCCAGTCCGTCCCTGTTTGGACCTTATACAGTCTATGATTTGCACTCATGTTCTTGACAAAAACAGCACTCGTGTGATATTGATCTTGCTGCTTGTGTGATATCGCTTATCATATGATATAAATGAGACAAAAACTCATACAGGGGCATTTTTGCCCCAATATCTTGAATTTTAGTGCATAACTTCGTTTATGGGGTCGTTGCCCTGTATCATATTTGTCAACAGTCAAGGGTATGAAATATAAGATGAGGTCCAGGTCTGGGGGCGGGGCTAGTGCTTTAACGGCATTAAAATATTTTAATCGCGTTATTTTTTCATAACTAATTATCGCGTTAAACTGACACCCCTAATATAAATATAAATATATATACACACACACACACACACACACATAATTTATTACATTTTTTATTATTCCTATTTTTTTTTAACTAATCTTAAGTCTGTTAATTTTAAATTACATAATATCTTAAAACAGTACTCCAAAAAAACGTGGGACTTGTCCCGAAAAGTGTGTCCTCTTCATATAAAGTGCTTGTATAAATTTCCCACCAGATGGCGCCAAAAAGGTTTTCTCTCCACACAGAATACTTTGTCATTGTCTTAGGCCTCAATGTACACCTAACTTCAGGTGTAACTTTGTATTAATACATCAGATTTTTATTTTCATCAAATTAATTTTAGTTATAGTGTGACATTCATTTATTGCATGCAGAATATTGACACTTCAGATACCAAAAATGCCACATTTCTGGACGACTTTTTTTCTCAACATGTTATTTGCCATTTGCATTTGGCTTTGATCCTATTTGGATTTGGTCAGGGTTACCTTACTGAACAGGAAGCAGGAAAGAGTGCACAAAAGTCAGGTGCAATACGTTTGGTGTCAATTTCTGGGAAGCCGAGTCATGCTTGTCTGGACAGACAATGCCGTCCATTGTTCATTGTGGTAAAAGGAATACACTAACCCAGAACTACTGTCTAGTACTTATGTACTGATGTCTTGATTAAAATAATTTCAAATAAACAATTTGATCAGCCACACTTACTGTTGGTGATTGAACTTTGGTCGTTTTTATGTGTTTTGATGAAATTAACTTTACAAATGAACTGTTAGAAAACTTCTGGAATTCTGGTGACTTCATGTTTGGAAATAAATATAAACTTTCTCACACAGGGACTTGAACATGTCAGAGTTTGTTTGTGACCCCAAAGCTGACCCATACGTCTATGACCTCATTGCTGTTTCCAACCACTATGGAGGAATGGGCGGAGGCCACTGTAAGTCACTCAATTTGCACAACTCCTATATTTTATAATAATGAAATCACCCCTTTACTATTCATATGTTCAGTTATGTATTAACAATCATATTAATACATAACTGGGTCGACTCACAGATTGTGTCAGCAGCCTTTGATTTTCCCTTTATCACCTTCACTTGTTCACCTTTGCAGCCTAGTTGGATATCTCATGTTTGATGGATTACTACAGAAAGTATATCACGGAGTTGATAATTTATGTATTTGTCATTATATTGCTGCCTGGAAATGATAGCTTGGTTTGTTTTTGATTGCCAAAGTTCAGCCGTTAAGCACTACGTTTCATTTCCTCTTGCAGACACGGCATACGGCAAGAACAAGGTGGATGGCAAATGGTATTACTTTGACGACAGCAGTGTGTCGTCTGCAACTGAGGATCAGATTGTGGTGAGGCTACTACGCTTTTCCGTTTTATTATCTTTTGCAGACTCATAAAGCATTCCACAGTGGTTAATGAGTCTCAAAGTCCAATATGGAAACTGGGAATTGGCAGTTGCTAGTTTGTAAACTGACTCAGAATTGTCTTTTTTGTTCTTCTCCACAGACTAAAGCAGCCTATGTGCTATTTTACCAACGCAGAGATGTGGACACGCCGTCCAAATCCACCCCCTCCGCATCACTAGGCGGAGCTCCAGAGACCCCGGATGACCACATGGACACCAACTGAGTTTCTTTTAGTCTTTCAAGGACTGGCACTGAAACAAAAACTACATAAAGATAAAATCATCAATGCATCGACACACATCCCTGGCTACTTCAGTGACTATTAAAGGCTCACAAACAGGCCCTTTGTTTTTAGCTTTATTTTAATTTTTTTTTTCCTTTTTTTTTTATCAAGAGCCAAAAAAGAATATTAATAATAAATAAAGAGAATTTTAGTTTGAAGCGTGATATGAAAGACTTTATTCTTGGACCTTGATGCCTGCTGATCATAGAAGCTAGAAGTATTTCTTTTAGTCTGAAATGAGAACGAGGGTGAAACGGCAATATAACCTCTCTTTGGACGACATGAATGTTAGATGCTCTAGATAAGGAGAGGGGAAATGCCTAGACATAGACTATGTATGCAACATTACGCTCATCTGACATGTTTAAATTATGCCTCTACCCACTTACGTTGGACTCTAGCTATCAGCATCTTGTAACATGTGCCTCGTGTGAAGAATAGACTCTCTGTGTTTAATAACTTAAGCGTGTGGTGATAAGCACAGAGATTCTCTCGGAGAAGCTTGCGCTCTTATATTAAATATTGTCTCCATGTTTCATTTATCCTATCACAAGTCACGCTTTTTGTTAAATATACCATGCCGGAGGGTGAAATATTTCACTTTCAAAGTCGCTCAGCTATAAGGATGCCACAAAATGTCAAGTTTATTATCATGTTGTTTTTTTGGGGGGGCTGCTCTCTAATATATTCACACTAACAGCCTTTTATGCCCAAAAACTGTGAAAAGGGAAGCTTATGAAAATGTGGAACAACGTAAGTCACGGTCGTGCCCGAGCATTTTTATTTTATTTTTTTCCAGATATGATGGTTGTGCTATGTAATAGTCAATTTTCATTTCTTTTTGGTGGATTTTTCTCCTGTCTAAATGGCTTCGGTCCAAAGGAATATCGAATGTGGTGCTAATTTTATGACACTTGAACAGGTACAGGTACACGACAAAGAGGAACACAAACAATGGCTGTTGTTCTAATTAAGAACAACCTTATTGATTAAAAGAATAGCTTTTATCATTACCTGTAGATGTACATTGGCACATCTGCCATGTGATTAGTTGTGGCATTATGTGTCAAATGGCTTTAGCAACAATTCAAAGCTCAAATGACACGTGCTTCTTACTGCTAAGAACATAATACACAAATCATATTCTTTTTTTGTGTGGCAAAATAGCATGCTATTTTTGAATCTGCAAAACTAGATGGTTGTTCCTGGTGTTTACCTCTCTATGGTATTGGCAGTCACTGACTGGTAAATCCACTCTTGTTATTTATGAATCCAGATGTAAAATTTAAGACAAACTGATCATTGACTCAAGCTGTCCCCCTGCAGCTCCTTCATTAGTAAAACATCCATTTAAACATTTTTTGTTTTTGTAATTTCATAGACCTTTCTTGCATAGATGTACATAATCATAATCTGGGGCACAGTACATGGCTGCTTTGTGTTGTTCTATTTATCATGCCAACATGTGCAACACCAGATTTTGATTAAAGCCTATTTGAATTGAAAATATAATAAAATGCGGAAGCCTGATTATAGGTAGTGGCTTTGTTTTGTTTTTTTCCTTATATAACATTAAGTAAATCAATTTGCATCAGATGATTTATGAATCTGTCATAATCTTCAGGATCAGTTAAATGATTCCACGTAGCTACCCATTATTTGTTATTGCTATTTTATATTATTTGCAGTTGCACTAGCAATACCAAGGTAATGTGTTTGATTCCAACAGAATGCAAAAACTGATAGAAATGTATAAGCCTTGAATGCAATGCAAGTCACTTTGCATAAAAGCATCTGCTAAATACATAAACGTAAATATAAAATGTAAAATTATTGGCTGGAAAGACTTGCATAACTAGTTCAACTGGTTTGAGAGTACATGGTGAAATCTGCATTGGTTTTGGCTGTTGTAAACGGAAATGGATGTATGAATGTTTGCAACATTTTTTTAATGATGTGTGCATTTAGATATTTTTGTTGTGTATCGAATGATGTCAAGCAATCTTATTCTCGCCAACCCTGCATTTATTTGATAAACCGTAAACAATAATATTGTGAAATATTACAATTAAAAAAACTCTTTATATTTCTATATATTTATTCCTATAGTATTTGTGTGTTTAATATGTAATTTATTCTTGTTATTTCTAAGTTGATTTTTCAGCAGCCAGTAATCTGGGCCCGTATTCACAAAATATCTTTTGGCTAAAAGTAACTCATAACTCGCTGATTTAGGAGAAAATATAAAAAATAATGGGCATTTCAGTCCTAAATTTAGGACTCCTAATTTTTTGCTCAAAGTATTTCACAAAGTGTTTTTGCACTAAAACTAGCTCCTAAATCTGTGAAACATTAGGAGTAGTGAAGAGGACTCCCAAGTCACTAAGACCAAGCCACAAACTATCCTAAAATGGCTGTTGCTGGCAATCTGCCTCAGAACATAAACATTTTAGAAATATTTGCCGATAATGAGCTTTTATAAAGGTATCACCTTTGGTTTTGGAGATGATCCCAACTCCAGATTTTCCTTTGATTGTATTCTTGTTTTCATTAACTAGCTGGGCAAAAGTAACAACTGTGCTTGTGTCCAGTTTGGTTTTCTTTTATGTTTGCATGTCTTACTATCAGCCATGATTATTCTACTTTGTTCATTAAAAGGCTGTTTATATGCATATTCGCCTATTATGAGAAGCATACATGTAAGAGGCTGACAATTAGCTGAACAGATACTGAATTAGTGACATTTGCCTGCATTTTAAAATCTTTATTTGAATGTGGCAACATAATATTGCACTCTACAATATTTCTATGAATAAATCTCTGACAGAGACCCCTCCCCCTATCAGCCAATGTTTGCAAAGTTAGTAAACATGCTGACATCATCCATAGCAACAAGGTCAACCCCGCCCTTGCTCTTAGCTTAAGACTTCTCTCTATTCTTCAGAAAAGTTTGTCTCAGCAGCTTTGTGAATAGGTTTTAAGAGAAAACTCTTAGTTAAAAACTTTTACTGCTATTTAGGAGAACTCTTAGTGGTAAGATATAATGTTTTGTGAATACGGGCCCTGGTCTTTAGTGCCACATGATCCTTCATGATCATAATTTTGATATGCTGATTTGGTGGTCAGTTATTATATTTTATTTTTTCAAAATGAATGTTTTTTTTTTTTGTTTTTTTTTTGAAGGTAAGTGCAACTGCATGCAAATATGTTTGGCTTAGTAAGTGCAGTGGGAAATTCTACTCCCGCCTCACACCCCCACACTAGAGATAAGTTTCCACTGGAACTCATTAATACAGAATGAATCTCTTCAAAGCACCTGATGATCAGTACCGTTTTACACAACAGACAAAACCCTAAAGCTCTGTGTTTTTGTCCTGCCACATTAACTGACGCTGAAATAAAAAAGGCAATCTTTAGTCTTGAGTAGAAAACACATTTATTGGTCCAAATTGCATGTTGTGCCATACAAGAGCTAAATGAAACTGTTCAGTTAGGACGTTTGCACGGCATCAGATGCTCCCCACAGACAAAGTATGTTTACAGGAGCACCTTCATGAAGTAAAAGTCCAAACACAGCAACATCATGCACATGAGAGCACAACCTGTCATGAACACCTATTGGAGACCCATATAGGTCAAGGAAGGTATGAAATGCAGAAGCTGGGATATTGATTTATTTTGACACCCTTTTGACCACAAAACCATTTTAGTTGGCTATGCTGAGAAGTTTCTTGATGTCTCCCTCGATGTTGCTGGTCAGGTATCTCCTGCTGTAGCGTTTGAATGGCACTCCATCAGATCCAATGAGAAACTTCTCGAAATTCCAAGTGATGTCGTTTCTGCACACGGGACTCCACACGATAAATTTGGGGTCATTCATGAAGGGCATTGGCTCATCGCTCGGGAATGGAAGTTTCTCCTTAAGGAAGACGAAGAGAGGGTGAGCGGTTTTCCCGTTCACGTCGACCTTCTCCAAGAGCTGGAATTTAGGTTCAAAGCCATTGCCAGGACGGACATACTTTAAGGACGGAAGGATCTCTTCATTTGTACAGTTTTCCTAAAACAGCAAAGCAAAAGATAGATAGATAGATAGATAGATAACTTTGATTATTATGTCTTTACTAAACAATATCTAATTAGGTAGTGAAGTATGAGAGGCCCTCCTAAATTGAGAATATAGTCAAGGGTTGAGTATAGTCATGGCTCATTATTACATTTATTTATTAGAAGAAAAAAAATATACAATAACCATATTAGAGAATCTTTTTAAAACAAAATTACTACTAAGCCAAAGGAAAATAATTTCAAAAGAGTATTGCTTAATACGCACATATGTGGTCACTTTTTTATATGTGATTACTTAATTTGACTTGATTTGGTAAATTTTATAAACATAGAAGCAAATTTTATTGAGTGTTGCTTTGGTTGTTAAGTCTCTTACATATACTGTATTAACAATGTATTAATAAGAAATCTTTTATTTAGTTATTCAGTAAATTTGGTACATTTTATATGCATAAAAGCACATTTGATACAACTGAGTTTTGCTTTGGTTATTGAGTCTTTTACATGTACTTTTTATTTCAATAATAAATCTAAATCTATAATTTAATTAAATATAGCTACATTTATTTAGTTAGTTATTTATAAAAATAAAAGTATTAGTATTAATAATTATATTTATCATATCTTAAACTGCACCCACATATTTATCTATCTACTACAGCTGTTTCTTTATTGTTCTTCAATTTAAAAAGATGGCTATGGGATCAACATTCAAAACACATTTTATAATACTTCATAATATATACTATAATTTATTATATCAGTAATTCATATCCAAATATATCTATATATTTAATTATGTAAACTAACATTTCTTGATATGTCTATTGTATTGTAAAGCAACTAATCATCTTGTAAGTATTACATAATTTACAAATGTTGATTAATGACTTAAAAATAAGTGTTACGGTCAAGACATTTAGGCTGCCTTTATTGTATACAGATGAACCATCATACATAAAAACAGGTGTAAGACAGCAGGTGGTGACAGAAGGAGTGCGCCACAGGCACCTACCTGTTCGACAGTGAAGAGCTATTGAATCAAACAAGGAGTTTACTGTAAATCATCTTACCTGATAGCCGAACTGATTGCAGGGAACTCCCAGAATCACAAGCCCTTTATCTGAGAAGCGGTCGTGGAGCTCGTTCATCTGGGTGTAATCCCTGGAGGTCGTTCCTCAAAGAGAAGCGACATTCTCGATCAGGACCACCTTTCCCTGTAGAGAAGAAAACTTGAGCTCCTCTCCAGTGAGGGTTTTGGCTGTGATGTCGTAAAACGATTTTATTCCAGCCATGTTTAGACCCACACAGTTGTCTCGCTGATCACTAATACAGAATCTAGGAAAGTGACACTTGTATAAAACTGATAAACGTGGGCGGTGTGTTATGCAGCGACCAATCATGGCAAGACACTCCACGCCTACTTGTAATACACGCCCATATAATATTAGGGAGTGTTATCAAAGTGTTCTGTTCACTGCTTAATGGTTGAGAAAGTTTATCTTCTTATCTGTGAATCTGATGACGTGTTTTGTGATGTCTTTCGCATTTTACACTTATAAAGACAGATACAGTTAATAGACAAAACATACAGGAACGTCCCATAATAATTTGTATATCAAAACAGAATTGAGAATTTTACCACGATCCCTAGATTTGACGGAACACTGGCGCGGGAAGCTTTGTGTGACAGACTGATGTTTTAGCCTGTTGAAGGAAGCATACATTTTATGCTCACGTCTAAACTTAACCAGCATTTATTAGTATCACATCAAAATTACAAACGTTTAAGATCAGCATCGCGGGGAGTAACGTTAAGGTAAACACTTCTGACCCCATTTTGTCTCAACTACGGTAATTTCGTCGAGTTAGTCGAATATGTAATTTAGCTCTTGCCAGCGTGAACTGATTGTTTACCATCTTCATAGATTGGATTCTGGGATTGTTTGAACCAGGATTGTCATTATTGAACTGTCAGTTGTGTACAGTTTTCTGAAATAGCTGCTTGTTGTAACCCCAACAGGTCATATCCGTTATTTATCATTTCCATCTGATCTGAGTTAAAGATGATGCGTAAAAAGAAGCGCTCATCCATCACAGTCGATGACGATTCCACACTTGACGTTCCTAGTAAGTCCCTGATGACGTCACGTCTAAAATAAATCTGGGATGGCTAAAATCTTTGTACATTAAGTGAAATGAAAAATATTTATTTTTGGACTTTATTAATGTCTCTCCATTCGCACAGAATCAAAAAAGACCAAGAGCAGTGGACGACCAACAAAGTCTTCATTACAGGACTCATACCCGGACTCAGTTTTTGTTCAGTTTCTGAAGGAATCTGGTGTCACTTTGACAGCTGGCAGTACAGCTAATGAAATTGGTAAGATAATGAATGAGAAAGTATTTATTGTATACAATAAAAGTGAAATCACAATGCATACATGCATGTTCATATCAACTAACACATTATTTATACACATATAACTAACACATTTTTTGAATGAATTATTAATGAATTATTATTATTTATTTTTTTTACAGCTGTAGACCAAGTAATATTTCAAAAGCGGCTCCAGCAGCATCTAAGAAAGCATCCCAGATTCCCCAATGTGAGAAACAGCTCATCATTATACTACTTTGTTTTGTTTTTTTTTTAATTTCAACGAAAAAGCTTACTTTACATATATTTACATTGTGAAATGGCTGTTTATAGATAATTCAGGAGTTTATATCTGCACTGGAAACATACATTGAAGACCCAGAGAGATTCAGAAACTGCCTGCTGCCTTGCGTGCCATCATCCACTTCACAGCAGGATACCAAGTAATGCACCGATTCTTGTTTTTCCATCTGAAACATTAAAAGAATTCATTGAAATGTTTTATGCAATTGTTTTGTTACTCAAATTTTCTAATTGTTACTTATTTTCCCTCTAATATCAGTTCTGGCTCCTATCAGGAAAGTCTTGTACGCCTGTTGCTTGGAATAGAGATGCTACAGGTATCTGCTCAATTTACATCTTAAAATACAAAGCAAGAGAAAATTATTTGACTTTTCCTACATTTAGACTGGTCTGGATATATAATTTTTCATTTGTTATTGTTATTTTATTATATATTAATTATATATTATATATATTTTATATTATTTTTAGATATTGTTTTTATATATTGTTCTTTATTATATATTTTACTATTGTTATATTTTTATTTTATGTTATTTTTTAAATCCTTATCCATTATCCAATGATTAGATGGAAAAAGTCATGAAAATTAATTGGTCCAAAAAAAAAAAAAGTAGGATACTTTTTGTTTTTTAATGTAGCCTTTTTACATGTTCTGTTGAAATAATTAACTACAGCTATTAATAACATTTATTTTATTCAAAATATTTTGGGGAATATTTTTGGGGGAATATAAGTAATATATATATATATTTTCCTTTTCCTGCATTTAGACCCAGGTCATAAACACTTTGTTCGAAAAGCTTCCAGAATTCATGTTTGAGGGGTAAATGTCTTTTTGATGACTTTTTATATACACACTTTAATTACAGACACAGTCCTGTAACATTCCCTTATCACTGATGGCAATGTGCTCTGTTACAGTGTGAGCGAGGATGGCCTCAATGTTCCCCGTCTCATAATAAACCAGTTGAAGTGGCTGGACCGAATTGTAGATGGCAAGGTACACAGTCCACTGATACTGTCTGTGTGAGAATCCTACATGATGGAAATGTCCCAGTGAACATCAAAATTGCCAAGAGTTCCTTTGTAGCAGACAAATGTTTGTCAAAGCCAAATTATGGCACTGCTGTGACCAATGTCTGACTGATATAACTGCTGTGTATGTGTAGGATTTGAGCAGTAAGCTGATGCAGATGGTGTCTGTGGCTCCGGTGGAGATCCAGCGGGACATTATTACCAGCCTGCCTGAAATCCTGGAGGATTCCCAGCATGGAGATATGGCCAAAGAGCTAAAGTACGTCAGCAGTAGCTGAGCCTGTTATTTTCTGTGCCATTTCCCAATGCATAGAATTAAAGTTGTGTTGTTTTGACCTATGTTTGGTTTAGTAATTATGGCTGGCTGTGATGGTAATGTTGAGTTCGACTATAATGTAGGTGCTTATTATCATCGTGTATATTGTTTAAGTGAGTCTGTGTTCGTGTCTTCTCCCTTGTGCAGTGGTTTACTTCAGCAAAACACTCAACTCCCTGTGCCTATATTGGATGCTTTATCCAGTTTGAATCTGAGCTCTGCGTTACTGTCAGAGGTACTTCTAAACATGCAGATCTTCTGCATCTTCCCTAAAACGTATTGGTCGCAGTGTTATTGCTTTAAATAATTCTTTAAAGAAGAAAGGTTAGGTTTTATGTTTAATGTTTTTGAAAGAAGTATGTCATGCTGCATTTATTTAATCAAAAATAGAGTAAAACAGGAATATTTTTAAATATTATTGCAATTTAAAATAACATTCATGTTTTATAATGTAATTTATTCCTGTGGTGGCAAAGCTGAGTTTTCAGCAGCCATTTCTCCAGTCTTCATTGTCACATAATCCTCCAAATATTATTTTAATATACTGATTTAGTGCTCAAGAAACATTTCCTATTATCATCAATGTTGAAAAGAGTTTCTTAATATTAACTGATAATTTTTTGAGGATTGTTTGATGAATAGAAAGTTTAAAAGTATTTAAGTTAAATATTAAAAAATATGTACAGTATGTTTATGTAAAAGTCACTTTTTATCCTTTTAAAGCATCTTTGCTGAATAAAAAGATTAATTTATTTTGCCTTTTAGACTGTAATGTATACTGTGTCTTTCTCTCTATCAGGTGCGCGAGGTAGTAATGGGAACTCTCTCTGCTGTGCAGTTAGAGGATCTTCCTGTTGTAGTCAAGTTCATCTTACACTCCATCTCTGCATCTGATGCTAATGAGGTTAGGCCTCTAAACTGACCTTTGTTTATGACCTTTTGTTTATGTTTTGTTCATAAAAATGTATTTTCTCTGGTAGACAATTTGAAATCAATTTCCTGTAGAGTTGTAGTTATGCTCATGTCCTTTCATGCTCCTCAGGTGGTGTGTGACCTGCGTAAAAAGCTGGAGTTGGAGCAGTGTGTTTTGCCAGCAGTGTTGCAGGCTTCCCAGAGTCGTATGAAAAGCAAAGCCATGTCAGGGTGAGACTTTTTCCTGCTTTCTCTTGAATAAAATTCTATCTTCATTTACTTACTCTCATCTGTCCCTCCCAAACCCATATGACTGCTTTATTCCCTGGATGACAAATAAGAAGTTGTAAATATGTCTGGTTCTGCTTGTCTTGTTCTTGATTTTAATGTCACTACTCAGGTCCTCCAGGGTCCCATCATGCAACAATGGTCAGGACAGTGTGGCTTTGGTTTTGGAGGTCATTAAGTCAGCTATCCGATTTCAGAAGACCATCTCAGAGGCTTGGCTAAAAGTGAGTTCATATAATCTTGATGGCTTTTTTTGTTTTTCTTTCTGCCTTCAAGCACTAGGTACAATATTTCCATGCAACTGAAGTTATTTAATTACTGTTCGAATTTTTGAATTTCAGGCAATAGAGAATGTTGATGAGTCAGACGACCATAAGGTTTGATTGACTTCTATCAAGATGTTTTTATGCGATTCCCATTAGATTGACACATTTCATACCTGAACAGCCAACATGCAAGAATTAACATAACTTGTTGTGTCTCTCAGGTGGTTGACCTGTTGGTGCTGTTCATCCTTCACTCCACTAATGCAAACCACAGCCGGCGTGGGGCGGAGAGAGTGCTCAAAGTCAAAGTTCGCAAGGGTCTGATTCAGGAAAACCTCTTGCAGAAGACCTTTAAGGGTCATGCTCAGGTCTGCTTTCATTCACATGCTTATGACCAAGAAACAGCCCTATTTATGCTACATGAAGTGTTGGCTTCCCTTGTACATATCGAGGATGGTGTAAATGTTTCATACAGGTTATGCGGGGTTATTTCCCATCAATTCTGGCTCTAGCTCAGGGACTCTTGCGTTCTCCAGACTGCTTTGTGGTGCCTTTCGGAGGTCACATGTACAAACAGGCCTTCACTGCCTTTGACTCCTACTGTCAGCAGGTAAGAAAAGAAATACCTCTTAATACCAGTTCACAACAAACACACTGTAGATTTATGGGCCCTAACATTAATTTAAAGACCTGCACTGATGTCCAGTACATATGTGTTTGTTATGTAGGAGGTGGTGGGCTCTCTGGTCACACACGCATGCAGTGGTGTGAGTGGTGAAGTGGATGTGGCTCTTGAGCTGCTCTGTGAGCTGGTATCTCAGAAGCCTGCAGAAATGAGCCAGTTCACTGTTTTTGTTAAGGTACACACCTGCCTATATAGGGAAGGAAATTGGTTTTCCGAGTCAGTTCTTTTCATTAAGTCAGATTGACTCGAATCAAAATTGTTTTATTTTGTCTTTTCAAGTACATAATGATATTTAACCAGTTTGCTGGTGTGAATTGTGGGTATTCTGGCAGGGTATTCTGGACTACATGGACAACCTGACCTCACAGCAGATCAGACGACTCTTCCACCTGCTCAGCTGCCTGGCATTTGGACAGGAGCAGCACGGAGGACACATCCAGGTGAGAAACACACTGCACCTTAAAGGTATAGTTGTCATTTTTTCAATTAATGGGATAGCTGATCCAAAATTGAAAATTCTGTCAAATCTCTGTATGTCCTTCACCAGGATGACATGCACATCGTCATCCGTAAGCAGCTGTCTAGCACGGTGCCCAAGTACAAACGTATTGGTATTATTGGTGCAGTCATGATGGTGGGCAGTATGGGGGCCTGCAGGTACTCTCTTTGCTGGTGCATTGCAGTGTTTTCACTTATACATCTTGTGTATAAGCTTGTGATCTTTGGTCTTTACTGTTTTTGGTCTTGTGTTGTTTATGTAGAAATAAACCTGATGGCTCTCAGGGTGGCACACTGCCCAAAGAGACACACAGACAGGTGAGTGAAATGATCTGACGGTTTGAGTGTACACAGTACCCTTCAAAAATTTGGGGTCTGTAAGATTTTTGAAAGAAGTCTCTTATGCTCACCAAGGCTGCAGTTATTTGATAAAAAATACAGTAAAAAGCAGCAATATATTTCAATTTAAGAGGACTGTTTTTAATGTTTTAAATTGTAATTTCTACCGGTGATGCAAAGCCAAATTTTCAGTAGCCATTCCTCCAGTCTTCAGTGTCACATGATTCATCAGAAATCATTCTAATATGCTGATTTGATGCTCAAGATCTTTTATTATTATCAATGTTGAAAACAGTTGTGTTGCTTAATATTTTTTGGAAACTATAATACGCTTTCTGGATTCTTAGATGAATAGAATAGAATAAAACAATGCCATTTATTTGAAATGAAAAGTTTTGGAACATTATAAATGTGTTGCCTACTTTCACTCCTTACTTGTTGTCGCTGACCCATGTACCACATAAGGTTTTGAGTGTTGCTGTGTCTGTAGGTGATGGCTCTGTTGGAGCTGGTACGCTCATGCAGTGAGAGTTCCCCTGAAGCTGCCGCTCTCTATTACGATGAGCTGGCCAACCTGCTGCAGACCTGCAAACTGGACCCTCTAGTTCAGGTGTGTGTGGGTTATTGACTGTAAATAGCCCCTTAAAACAGCCTTCATGTCCTCATCTTAGATTTTTAAGAAATTAGATTTTTAAAATTCTGTCTCCAAATGAGTTTGAAATGACATGATGTGAGTGAGTAAATGCTAACAGAATTGTATTTTAATGGGTGAACTGTCTCTTTAATTGAGTTATAGACAAAAAGCAATACATTTCAGATGGATCTCTACATGACTAAAAGGACTGTGTATTATATTAGTTTATTAAACTCTCTATTATGGCTATATCATTCTTAGGCATGGATCGGGAAGAGTGTGCTAGAGGATTTTCAGGAAGACTTTATTGTAGACCTTGGACCAGATTTATCAGGGTGAGTGACGCATTCAGAGCTCATAAAGAGTAGTATAATCTTTACGACCTGCTTTTTTGTTGTCAAATCAAAGCAATTGGCTGTTTCATTTATTTGTTAAATTCCAGCGTTTTTATGTCGGCTTTCTCATGACCCCTCTTGTGTGTCTCTCTCAGCCCGTTTGTGTTTCCTGCCTCTGTGATGCATAATTTGGACGAGGATGAGAGTCAAGGGGGAATCGCCATCAATCTACTGCCACTTATGACTCAAGACCAGCAGCTCAAAACAGACACAACCCAACCAGCTGGAGTCAAGAAAGAGAGGTCATTACTGAATACTCCATGCTGAACTCATTTTAACGCTTCTGTTACTGTAGGCTGTAAAACAAGATGCTTTTTATGTACCATAAATGATGCTCCTTGATATAGAGCAAGGTTTCCCAAACTGGGATCTGCAGGGGGTTTGTGAGTTGATGAAAAGCTAATAAGAAATTAAATAATAAGAACGTTGCATGTAAATAAGTAACATGTAAAATAGAAACAGTTTGACTATCAATTACTTTGTTTACTTGCATGTCATTTGACTATTAACCAAAATACAACTTGTGAACGTGCAAATGTTTTAAAATATTCTATAAATGACTGATATAATAAGGGGGTACTACAAGCAAATGTTTTAGGTCAGAGGGGTTCAGCTGACAAAAATATTTGGGAATTCCCGATATAGATGATTGCAATGGACTAATATGGGTTTTAGTAGCCGATACTGATATTTTAATATACAATATATAGCTTCATCATATGTGATGTATGCAAAATTGCTGAAATTATATGAACAATTATTTTATGCAATATTTCCTGAAAATTCACCTATAATATAATAAAATATGCACTTCACAGTTCGGACTTTAATTATTTGGCCAAGCAGGCACTGTTATTTGTTGATGCCAGTAATCAGTACAGTATATCAACCTGTGATCTGCCTTTTTATTTATTTTATCAAGGACATTGTTAAAATAGTATTGTCAGTAGTTGAATCCCTGCAATGTTACAATCAGAATGATTCTTTTATTCTCACAGGCGCGCGTCTCCTTTGTGTCTGTCCTCATTTTTCCGCCTGCTGAGGTTGTGTGAGGAGGTGCAGCACCAGGGTGATCTGGAGGAGATTGATGCTCTGCTAGGTCAGATAATGTACACCTGTAGCTTTTTTTTATCATAATTTTGTTCTGGACTGTGTTCACTGTGAAAAAGAAAATTCAATAGATACCTCTGTTTTAATTAATGCATTATGATTGTGTATAAACTGTAAGATTATTTATCACAAGATTAAGATTATCACAAGAGGCATCAGAGGTATTTAAGGTAAAAAAAAAAAAAAACATGTTTGGAAAATTTTGTGCTGTTATAGGCTGTCCTTTGATTCTGACTGATATGGAGGTGGTGGAGAAGGTGGAGAGTCTGTCTAAGGCTGAGAGAGAGTTCCTCTGTTCTCTGCTCTTTTACACCATCAACTGGTTCAGAGAGGTTAGTACATCTCTTTAGTATAGCATAGTACTAAATTCAGAATGACTTTACAATCATCACTGATCAATTCAAGTTCTGATATGACTATTTGGCCTTTTTAAAGTATTCACTTTAATTGTAAATTTAATAGTTCATCCAAAAATGAGAAGTCTGTGTTCAGTTTATTATTTGGAACTACAGATTGGAATTGTGTTTTTGATGTTATATAATAATTAATATATTCTAATATGTATAGTATGCATTTCTGTTTTATGAATGTAGACGGTGAATGCTTTTTGCAAGCAGAATGATCCTGAGATGAAAATGAAGGTTGTAACTCGTATTCAGAATATC